CATGTTTTCTGAACCAGACTACAAGAAAAGGTGACCTGTATAATATGATTCATGCATGGTAAAAATCTTGTTTTTCCTGGGAACTATTCTTTTGATGCACATGTAATGCATGTATGGAAACATACAAATGTGAATGTATAGTATTATGCAAATACTTCCTCTTCTAATATTACAATAATGGAGCATCATCAGGAAATGAGAATAAAATTTAGCCCCAAACTGGTGGTTACTTATGAAATGAAATCTTGAAAAAGCATATATCTTAATTATTGTATGACCAGCAGTTGTCTCGTATGTCTGTCTTAATGTTTTAATCTGGTCCTGTTATTTCATTAGGTGTTATATGTTATATGTGTCACAAATGTAAAGTTGTTGTGGACCTCAGGAAGAATAGCTGCTGTAGTGCAGGAGCTAATGGGGATCCTAATAAACTAAAGTAATGAACAACAGACAGTGATGGAATGTAATTAATTAAGTACATTTACACAAGTACAGTACTTAAGTCAGTGGCGTACGGTAGTCCCGATGGGCCCTAGTGCACGCTATCGAACACATATCATCTCGCACATGATCACTGACTTGACACGAGATAACATCAACATACATATTACCCAACAATCATCATTGCATATCTTTATATAACAAAAAATACCAAAGAAAATAAGCACATTGTTGCAGGTCCCACTCCCACTGTCTATACGGGCCCCACATCTCATGGGCCCCAGTGCAACTACACTGCCTGCACTGTCTATATTTACACCTCTGGCTTAAGTACAAATTTGAGGTACTTTTAATTTACTTGAGTATTTTAGTCTCATGCCAATTTCTACTTCTACTCCACTACACTTCAGAGGGAAATATTGTCTGTTTTACTCCACTACAATTATTTGATAACTTTAGTTTTAGATACTTTACAAATTAAGATTTTTGCACATAAACCATATGCAAATTTACAAGTGACACTGAAATTATTAGTCAATTGATTAAATCATTTTTCATGCAAAAACATTTCATGGCTCCAGCTTCTCAAACATGACACCTTGCTGCTTTTCCTGTCATTTTTTTAAATTATTTTGTCATTTATTAAATTGATTTTAAATCTTCTGCAATGAGTAGTTTTACTTTTAATACTTAATTTTCCCGATTTTTCCCGAAACTTGTGTAAAATTTTCAATGCAAGACTTTTACTAGTAAGGGCATTTTCTATAATGAGGTATAAGTACTTTTACTCAAGTAAAGGATCTGAATACTTCCTCCACCACTGACAACAGGCTCAGACTTATTTCTAATATAAATAATAATATTATCTATCAATCAATCCACCTGTTCATGTTGCCATCATACGGCTTAAATGTGCAACAAGCCAACTATCGACCATCAAACTGAACTTAACTTCAGTGACATATTAACTCCATGACAGGTGCAACAAATGTGTTACAAATTAACGTCACATACTGAACACCACAGGCTGACGATGCATGTCACCGGAAAGTAGTAAATAAACAGAACAGTTATGCTCCATAAGCATGACTTCACAGTTTTTATTGATGTCCTTCATTAGTTATTTTATAAATCACAACAGTGGGCAGAGTGGAGACACAGAGGGAGGAGACTTGTGTCCATGGAATGTAAAAAAAAAAAGTGAATATTAAGTTTAAAAATGACAGTTTAAAGCCCTTCAATTGAAATACATGCATTGTAGAAGCAAATGCTGCACATCTTTGGATTGTTCCTGTAAAGTGAATGTGTAACTTCAGCGATTTATTCATGTTCCACAAGTATCAGACATTTAAATCACAAAACATTAAATCCATAGCAAACCAAGGGCATATTGGGACATGCAGAATGTCCACCACGTCAATAATAAACGGAATGAAATTCAATTTAACAGTGCATTTTGTTAATGATTGTCAAGCATCGTCTGTCGAGGAAGACATCGCCGCCTTGTAGTGCAGGGAACACAAGATGGCGGGGCAAACACACAAAAGCCCACAAGACATGTCATGAATCTCCATTTAAAAAACATAATTTACAAATATCTGTCCCATTGATGTGAACTTTGTCCTTTCGTACCACAACAAAGGTCAATATCTATGCAAGTGGCTGTGTGAGGCTGCACTGAGCTAAGTGCTAACGTCAGCATGCTAACATTCCCACAGTGACAATACGGAAGTGCTGATGCTAAGCAGATGATCCCCATCTTGGTTTAGCGTGTTAGCATGCTAACATTTAAGAATTACAACTAAGCATAAAAACTACAGCTGAGGCTCATGGGAATGTCATTACTTTTGCAGGTATTTGGACTGAAACCAAGTTTTGGACAAGTTATAATTTTAACCAGACTGTAACAGACTGTGCATGAAAAGTTAAAGGGACAGTTCACCCCAAAATGTAAAATGCATATTTTTCCTCTTATCTGTAGTGCGATATATCAGTCTAGATTGTTTTAGTGTGAGTTGCCAACTGTATCACCACGCAGAAGGTAGCAAGCAACAACTCATTGGCGAGGGGCTTGTGACAGCACCAGATGTAAACATTGATGGCGTCCTCCTCGGCTGAGCTGTAACATTAGCTAATTCAGCACTAGGTGAGCTAGCAGTAGATGCACCCTTCCTTCTGCGCAGTGATAGTTAGCAGGTCTAGTTTGGTGAGAAGAAAATAGTTCCTATATGAAACTGCTCACAACAAGGTCTGTGGATTATCTTGTGTAATCGGGTCATAATTTCTGCAAAGAGACATTGCTGTTGAGTTTTTCAAATGTTTTGTTTGTTTGTTTGTTTGTTTTTTTTGGCGCCTAGTTCCATTACATAGGCAGACATCTCTATGGCCGATATCTCCAACACTCTGCATCTCACACCAAAACAATCTAGACTGATAAACAGCACTACAGGTAACAGGGAAAATGTATTTCTGATTTGGGTGAGAACTGTCCCTTTAAGGCAGTGGTTCCCAACTGGTGGGTCATGGTCCAAAGTGGGTCGCAGGTTCACACGCAAAACGCAATTTATTTTTAAATACAGTGAATTTCCAGCACAGAGCTTTCATTTTGAAGTGTCGTGTCCTGCTGCAGAGTGACTGATTAACGGACAGCTACTTGATAGAGACTGCAAACTAGTTTAACGACACGGCCACAGGCAAGTATGACACTGAATGGATTATGCTGTGTGGACCTTGAACCAATGACTAAGAAGAAATCTGGACCCCATGGCTAAATAAGTTGGGAACCACTGTCTTAAAGGAGCAATAAGCGAAATTCATCATTTCTAGATTGAAGGAATTACAAAATTGCTATGTGAAGAACTAGAGGTGTAATTTCATCTGGAGTATAGCATGACCTCACACACCCTCTCTCTGTGTTGATCTCCAGCCCATTGTTTACAAGCCGGTCCAGCTGCGCGTTCATGTGAATCCCCACCCCCCTCACCCCCCTCAGAGCCCGTGGCCCTCCCTCCCTATAAAAGGCTACAAGCCAGTGAGCAATGACAGCGCGTATTTTCGAAGCAAAATGGCAGAGAGTGGAATGAAACGTTCACCTGAAGACGACCAGGATCCGACATTACCTCAACGGCTGTTGGCAAAGAAGTTGTCGGATAAAGAAAGGGACAGAACTCGGATTAACATTGGCCTTGCATTTCCAAGGTGGAGAGCACTGCGAGAGCTAAAGGGGCTACAATTTGACTCAGAGCTAGCTCTTCTTCTCCTGGACAGGTACAACATAAAGTCAAATGTCTGTACTGTACGTTACTGTAACACTAATGTTTTAATTAGTGTTACAGTAACGTTAAGCACATGTCGCTATGTCGATTCAATTAAATTTAATGTTACAATCGTAGCATGGGTTAATGTCCGGAGTTTGAGTTATTAGCGGCTCTGTCCCAGCAATGGGTCAGGCGTTACGGTTGTGTTAGGTGAGTAGCCCGGCAGCCCAGCTAACATTTGCAATTAGCATTGTAAAAATGTAGCCCGGCGGCTGTGTTTAGCTATTTCCCTGCCTACTTCAATGATGATGGTACCTGTAATAAATTATTTGCTGAGATGGAGGCGAGGCTCAGTGACTAGAAGACCTGGTAGAAGCGCTCCATAGCTGTAAGTTACTCAAGTAGCCGTAGTAGCTCTAGTGCTAACTCCAGGAGCTAACGCTAACGTCCCTACTCTTCTCTGTGAGCCAGAGACGTGAGCCCGTGAGCCCATGAGCCCATGGGTAGGAGAGTAGGAACGTTAGTGTGGCAGCCGACTAGTGCTGACGCTAACAGGAAAGCAGGGAAATAGCTAAACACAGCAGAGACTGAGAGTGAGTGAAAGACATCGCTAACTGCTAAACTAAGCCAAACTTAGTTGGCTGTTTAGGTTTTATTTCCTCGCCCCTGTGGCGAGTGAATCTGCCTGTAGTGAAACTGGGGCTAACGGTGCTTCCTCCTCAGGCTCCACTTCACTCAGCTGCAAGCACAGCCAGTTAGCCGAGGTAGAGGGAGGAGTGGCTCATGACACACTTTGTTTTGGTCTACAGGCAGTGCACAACAGCAAACCTAGCGTTGAAGCGATTTCGCTTTTTGCCCCTTTAAGGTATTACCAAAATGACAGTCCAGAAATAGAAATAGAAATAATAGAAATACATTTCATTTAAAACCACAACATTGTGGTGACCCTACAGAGAAAGTCAGGGGGTCACTAAAGGCAACATAACTAAAATTTTATTGCGAATCAGTCCTATAGTTGTGGAGATATTTTAGTCTCGACAAAAGGTAACTTACTGAGTCACATAATTACTGTTTTTTTGAGGAAAAGAAAGTGCTACAGACAGTTTAAACCACTGCTGACCTGACCTTCTGATCGGGGTTTTTAATTTATTATACTTTGAAATAAAAGTTAAGTATAAAACCAATTACAAGCCTTGTGAAATATACTGCTCATGTGTTTGTGGTATGGATGAGAATCAGTGTTCTGATGTGGTTCCTCTCAGTGGAAGCAGCTAATTAGTTTAACCATTAGTGGAAAGCTTATGGCTGTGCATCTATTAGGCATTTTTATTAGCTGGTGACAGTGTTGGTAATGTTCACATATTTGCCCTCTCCATTACCAGCATGTTACAGTGTTAATAGACCTTAAATGTTACACAGGTACATGAGGCCCCTGAGCTTTGATTTTTAAACAAAGAGCAGATGTATCAGCCCTTGGCAAGTCTGTGATTCATGAAGCAATGATCACTGCATTTGTATCACTGAGACACACACACACATGCATGCATCCGTCACACACTTGCACACACATACACACTCTTACAAGTTGTTCTGCAGCCAGTTGAAGTAACCTCTAAGTGCTCTCTTCCCTACATCAAATTCAAAAGGCCATTTTACAAAGCTGACACATCCGTGGAAGCCTTCCTCATAGTGGTCGACAGTAACTGTGACACCTGCGTCCTGTAACCGCCGCGCGTACATCAGGCCATCATCCCTCAACACGTCATACTCGCATGTTAGGATGTAAGCTCGGGGGCATTTCGCCAAAACCTCAGGTCCTGCCAACAGCGGCGCCGCCCTCACATCCAGCATCCCCGGCACCTCCTTCACTGCCCCCTGTGAACTTTTCTCCACTATCAGAGGCTTGTAGTTCTTCTTGTGTTTCGGGAGCAGGAGGGCGGTCCAGTCCACCCGCGCCCTCAGCTCTGGGGTGATGTTTGAGCTGTGGTTGTTTGCCAGCCACTGGGACTGCAGAGAGAGGTCAGCGCCGAGGTACTGCAGCCAGAAGTTGACCATGACGGACCGGTAGAGGATGGGCACATGTTGGTTCTGCAGGTAGGAGGGTGTGTTGAAGTCCAGAGTCTGGAGCACTGGGTAGATCAACGCCTGGACACTGAATTTCCCACTCATAGTGTCATCTAAGGAAATCTGGGAAAATATAGAAACATATAAGGCCTCGATGTCTTGATTTATATTTACAGTACATTATTACACACACTGGTATGTACCTCTTGAGCGACCGCAGCAGCCAGGTTTCCCCCAGCACTGTCACCTGCCACGGCCACACGTTCGGGGTCGATCGCATACTTGGCCTGAACCTTTGGGGATAAGAAGTGCTTGGCGGCAGCGAGGCAGTCTAAATACGGCTCTGGAAAATGCACCTCTGGATACAGACGATACCTGCACAGACATTGGTTGCAAATTAGAATTTAATGGAGGCTCGCAAAACTAGTTAGCAAGGGGTCAATTGCAAGCAGGACCCTTGATTGCAAACACACAGTGACTGGCACACACAGTTGTCAATCATGACACTGAACCCCTTTTTATAGCTATCAAATTACTAGTTATAGCTAAACTTATCGGAAAAACAAACACAAGCTTGTTAAGAACTACCTTAACTGACAGAAGCCGTCTTTGGGAAAAATCTGATATGTGCTTTGATCTTTTAGTTTGGCCCATGTCACATCCGCTAACATGAAGAAGGCGGGGTTTATGATCTACACTACAGCCAGCCTTTTTTTGCCGTTTTGCCTTCACTTTCGGGGAACTATCACATCGTCCATCTTTATCATGCAGTCTGTTGTGTAGATCTGTACCAGCAGTTGGTTTCAGTTACTACATGTTGAAACAGGTTGTTGCACACTTACTCAACAGAGACCACAACGGTGTTGAGCTCGTCGGACAACATCCGGTTGAGGCTATCATATGCCCCCTTCTCTGAGGACATGAGAGAAAGAGAGAGAGATGAAGGAGTGTGAAAAAAGTAAAGGAATACTTCACCCCCCCAGATGATCATTTGTATGTCAATTTCTTAACCCTGTGTTACTTTGACTTTTATGGATTCAAATTTTGATCATTTACTTTCCTGTTTTTTAAGACAGCAAGAATGGTCGTACTTACTGCCACTACCAAGCGCCCAGCCTCCTCCGTGGAAAAACAACAACCCTCTCCTCAGATGACCCTCCCCTCCAGCCGGGGGCTCATACACTCGGACTGGGACACCAGCAAAAGTCATGTCGCTGACTTTCACTCCGAGCATGACCCCTCCGCTGGACTCAGAACCACGCAGCCCAACCATCAGGCCATCGAAACCTTCTGTGGACTGCCTCATTGATATAATGTAATGGTCAGAGCCCAGCCAAGCCTGCAAACGGCTCTGAAGACAGAGAAGAGATTCAAGATACATTTAGGCGAAGAGTAAAAAAAGCAGGTAGGAATTTAGGAAAAGACAACATTTATTCATCTCTTGGCAGGGACTTGAGACACAACTGTCTCACCCAGTCACCTCTGTCCTTCTGCACTGTCTGCCCTCCTCTCCACAGACTGTCTCAACAGTCAGGGTCAACCAAGGACAGCAGACACAGCTGCCTGGCACAGTGTAGGCTCAGCAATGTAGCAATGTCAGCAACACCAATGTAGCAAGGTAGGCTATTTGACTTTTGAATTTCTGAACCTGAACCTGAAACTGAAACTGTATCTGTTCCTGAACCCCTATCTCTACCTGCCTGCCCATGAGCTTATGTATCCTCGTGTCTTCAGTATATCATTAACTGTTCCTCTTGGCCTGGACTGTCTGCATTCCTTTTCCTGCTGCCTTGCACCTGACCGTTCCAACCTTGTCTCACTCCGAAGTCATCGAAATCTGCCGCTTGGGCAGTGACTTGCAGCGTCAGACACTGATGAAAAAAGCCATCCTTTAACGTCAGCATGATGCGCAGCTGGTCGTGATTTAGTCTAACGGCGCTCAGTGACATCAGGGAGAAACGCAGCAGGACAAGAAAAAAAGCTAAGGCGGCGAACGTCTGTGTAGGGAAAGCGGAAGGGTTGGTGGATGTGTCCAACAAACTCCAAACTTCACCCGAGAGAGCGGCGTTCGCGTTCTGTAAGACTGTAAAGCCAAACCCTGTTCTTTTTTCCTAAACCCAACCAAGTGCATTTGTTGTTGGAGGGAAAAAGGTCAATTCCTGTGAAGACAGAAGTGTGTTTTGAAAGAAGACAATGCATGTAACAGGCGGAACTTGACATGGTGTCCCAGAACGTCATCAACCAAAGCACCCAGGGTACCTTGCATGTCGCTTCTAGACATGGAAATTCCATGACCAAACATCAATATTGAGAATGTGTTGATTCTCCATTTATTAAAAGAAGATCCTTACTAAAAACCAAAAACAGATGCTTTCTGTATGAAAACATTTAATTGCATATCGGCCGCCATCCAAGCGTATCCAAAAAGTTCTGTCAGGCTGAACATACCCAACGGGGCAAAAAATAGCACCTGGGCGGACAAAGTCCCTTTACTTGTAGCAACATCTGCTGTAACCCTCCAATATCGCTTCAGTTACACTGCCCATGTGTCATAGCAGCTCCCATAGGATCAAAGAGCATGTCTCAGCCTCTTGTGAATAGCCTTGGTATCATATGATATTAATACATCCCTTCTTTGGATGTATTTTAAAGGGGCTTCCATAGGAGGGATCCATTGTGTATTGTAATCTACGATAAAAAATATACTTTGCACTAGAGCTGGGCGATATGATGCCTTTGTACAATATATCAATATATTTTCAAGCAAGATATAAATATTTAGACAACACTGTTAATATCGATACAGGGTGAAGTTGTGTAATGTAACACATACTAGTGTGCATCTCTCCTCACACTCTCCGCACAGCTCTCCCTCACTCAAGCTGTCCATCAACACTCAGAGAGACACAGAGCTGCTCCTCTGTTTAATCTGTCTGTTAATTAGTCTACAGTGTGACATCGGTCTATATGTTGCAGGTGCTACGTTAAATCAGTCTGTGAGATGAATGAAAATACCGCAGTAGCACACATGCAGTACAGCGCTGCGCTGCATGTGTGGGAAACAAAGCTGCTTGACTGTGTCAGGTTTTGATTGCTAGTTTTGTGTGTGAGGTGAATTGTAGTGCGTCGCTGTTTTTCTTGCTTTCTAGTTATAATCTACTTTGTGACATGGAGACGGCGCCTGGATGCAGGCGACAGGTGTGTTTTAAAAATGCAGCGACAACACAGATGTTTCACAAACAAGACGTATATAACGTGGACAAAGTGTCTCTGTCTCCTTCCCTCCCTTGGCCCCTCTGTTGATGCTCTGTGCATAAATACGATTAATAACCTAAATAAACGAAAAGATTTAAATCATTTTCCAACACTAGATTCATTTGAAAGGCCAACAGATGGAAAACAACTTTGTAACTACCCCACTAAGATTTTTAATTGTTCCAAATTACAATGGATTTAGATCTACTTGATACCTTTATACTCATGTTATAGTTTTGTGTCATGTGCTGCTAACATTTAAACCTCTGTAGCTCCAGTGCTACGTGCAAAACGTTAACGTACAGCCCTGCTATTTATTTTATCATTTTTCATTTACATGTTGTGCAGCTGTATATTTTCCAACAGGGGAATAAAATCCCTGTCTTAGCATTTTATTTTGATTGCAGTCAAAGCGACATCTCAAATGTGGCTTGTCGCCCATTGTTGCCCAAAATACAGAAATATATATGTTGTGTATCGCCATTCAGCCTGTAATTACAGAGATATGAATTTCTGTCCAAATCTCCCAGCTATACTTTGCACTGGTAAGTCTGAGAAAACAATTTGTGGTGTATCTATAATATGTGAACACAACATCAGCTGCAGAAAAGAGAAGAAGAGCAGTTTAGTTTAGTTTAGTATAGATTAAAACCATTTTAGCTTCTTCTACAGCACATGACACTCAGTATAGATGCTGCGGACTGTTTATAATGTTATAAAAGAACACATCTGAGATACAATAAAATACTAGATTACATACACAAAGAGTATTATCTGCTTCAAAGCAAAAAACTCATCATAAGTAGGTAAAACATTAATCTGCAACCTCCCTCAGCCGGTGTGTGGCAATAACTCTTATCAGCCCTCCTCACCTACACTGCCAATTCCAACATGTGGAGCAGAGGTGAGGGTTAAGAGTTTACTGTCCTCACACAGGCCCAGATAATCCTTGATGGCTGCTTTGCAACAGATTAGCACTGCGACAGACAACGAGACGGTTACGAAACGTAACTGAAAAAGCTCTTTCACAAAGTCTGTACATTTGACTCAAGCATGAAAGCATGAAAGACGTTCTAGTGAAGAGAAGCTCTGTGTGTTATATCCATGACAGCACATGATGGCGAGGTGTTTCCGGACATAGCGGGCCTCAGATATTTGATTTTAGAGTCTGAGAATATATCACTTCAAATGTATACACGTTGCAAGATACAGATTATGCAAGACTGAGCTACAGTTGAGCATTTCAGGATCGATATCAATCAATTCATCTTCTTTATGGTTTTTGTATTGTTTCCCATTCATTTCAAGTGTTTGACTGTTTATTTCCAGATATTTTTTTACATATATAAATTTTCTACATTTATGACATTTATTCTGATAATGGTAATATTGTATCATATTTTAGAGTATGCATGCATGCATTACAAGGGCTTTTATGTTCTCGAATGTGTGTTTAATAGAAATAAATATACATTCAGCTCATGGTTTAAGTAGGTAGGGTCAAAGTCTGCACAGGCTAAGTGTGTAGCTGTGTTGTAGGTGTCTTTTATCAATGCTACTTCTTAAAACAGTGGGATTTATTTATGTAAAACATGCAGCACATGCAGCTCATCTTTATTAATTACATTATTAGTTCTAATCTGTGCAGGTGACATCACAATAATAGCTCACTACCCACAGCTCAATGATGGAAACATCTGCTCTCTCACCAGGTGCATGGTGGTCCTGAACGCAGCATCCAGCATCATCAGCTTCCACGGCTCCTGGATGGCATCAGGCAGTGGGGTGTAAACATAATAAGCCACAGCCACCGTCAGTAACAGTGTAACAACCACTGGCAGCAGCCTCATGTTGGATCTGACAGCTGTGGTGTCCTCAGTGAGTCATGAAGGAGCTAACAGAGGCCGGAGGATACTCACTAACCCTGATACTCTGATCTGTCACTGAGGGACTGACTACACAGTTAAAGCTAGATAGGACTCTATGGGACCGATAAGCAGGAAGACTTCTGCTGGAAACCTTCAAAATAAAATCCTTTATTGATATCTGTTTTACCCTGAGTCTTCCTTGCAACTAAATTGATTAACTAATTAATTGATTGATATAAAAAAAAAAAAAAAAATTGGCCTAAATTGATTCAGATTTGACCTGTTTAAGAAAAATATATAATAAATCAATATGAATGAATCAAATCACTTACTTTTTTCAAAATTAGTAATGAAATATAAAATAATTACAGTTGCATTTACCTACTTGCAGAGCAGTGTTTAATTAGGTTTGCCACTGCTATTTTATCAGCCTACAATTTTTCGTCTTTTAATTTGTATATCTTGTTTATTATGCTAAATCAATTTTCAAGAAACTTAAACAGTATAAACATATTTCAAAACATACACAAGACATAACATAAACTAAACTAAAATAAAATGAAGAGTACCATGAAGTCAAAACGAACCTAAATAAATAACATATATATTTAGAAACTAATAATAATATTCTATGTTCATTTAGTAATCACCAATGTCTAACTGAATCCCTCCATACAATCAACATGAAGTGAAGTATACAAGGCCTCCATCCTGCTCCTGGCAGAGGATCAGTCATCTCCAAATTCACTTAGCTGACCCAGAATACTTTCTATATCTGTATCTTCAGGATAAATAATAAAATGAATGAGGACATACATGGAGACAATGTTTAATCAATTATCAATACTTGGTCTAGTGACATTTTTCAATCATGATGATAACATAAAAATAAATAGATAAATAAATAATATACATTGTTGTTTATTAATAAAAGGTATTTAGATCTTTTCAAAAACAAGATCACAAAATGCTTCACATACAAACCAAAAATACACAATGCAGTTAGAAACTGGAATAAGTTCAATGCAGACAAGAAACAGACACAGAGATATAACACAATTAATAAAAATCTTAGGAATACACAAATGAATAAAAGCATGAAACAAAAAAAAACAAAACACTCCAGTCAAAAGCCTTTTATAAAAATTAGTTTTTGTGCAATCACAAAGACAACAATCTAAAAATATTTGCCCTCTGTACCTGATATGCTTATTCTTATTTACTTAATTAGCTATTTATTTTTATTAGCGTACAATCTAATAAGATCAGCTTGGGCTCCATAGATATTTGTATTATATGTCATATGTATATAACAATCCCAAACTAAATGAAAAAAAAATTGTTTATTTACTGCTAGATTTTAATGTAATTAGAAAACCCCACTTTTATTATGGTATGGCTGTCGCCTTCTGCATCCTGAGAGACATTTCTTCTGACGCTTTTATTTTGAAGGCCGTGGGGCCACAACAAGAGGGCATCTGGGAAATGAAGTTCTTTTTGTGCCATCTGCAGGCTGGTACAGTTGTATTACATACATGTGACCACTGAGAGGCACAACAGAGCTACAGAGCGCAGCCAGGATTACACACACACACACACACACACACACATCTTGTTTTATCTATAGTTTCATCATACTTTGCAGAGTAAAAAAAAATGTAATCACTGAAACGAGAAAGTTGGTGAGGAAATTCTTTTTTTTACTTTTTTTTCTAGAAAACAATAAAACGGGCAGAGATTAATATTTACCTTCTATTTATCATCTCAGATGATGCAATATTAGACTGTTCACAGTTTAATTTAAATCTAATTAAACCACATAGATGCAGTTAAATAAAGATTTCACCTCTATCTGCCTGCCGTACGTCTTCCCACATTGTAGGCTGGTGCGACGGTGCAGCAGAGACGGGTGAATGCAGAATATCTTGAACTGCAGGATGTGCAGAGAGGACTCGATACTGCAGGCCAGTCTGGTGCAAATGTGTCAGTGATTGTTGGAGGTGAAGAAACTGGCAAGTCAGCAAAATAAAACACCAACTCTTATGCAACAGATACTGAACATGCTACAACTCTGAATTTGGCAACTTCCTGTTATTGCAAAACATCATTAACACTATGCCCCTGATGATGTAATAATACAAACCTGTGTTTCCTATTTAATGTCTTAAAAATAAATACAATTATAGTATTTAGTGAATAAACAGATATGAGTTATTAATAGATGTGATTGCCTCTTGTCTATTAGTGAAGTATAGATTCAGCTGTTACATTTTAGAATAGCATAAATCAATAATTCCAGCTCATACTGTAAAGATCAGTGAGGGGGGGGTGAAGTCATGTTTTCCCATTGTACACATCGATACTGGGCTGAAGTCTTACTGGAATAGATTAGTGTTGCAAATTGTTGGCCAGAGATCAGACTGATCATGATCGTTCACAAGCTATTGATCCCTCCACCTCCTTACCTCTTCTGTCTGATAAAAGGTCATTCTTTCCTTATTTGGTTTAGTGTTCAATATTTATACTGAGACAGTGGAACATTTGCTGTTTGCATCACTTTTAATGTGATTACAGCAATGATTTGTCACATCAACTGATCTTCTTGTCTTGACAGAGCCCAGAGGAGACTCAAGAAACATGAGTTCAGAGGCAGAAAGGGAGTCATGCGACAAAGGTCCCCAGCCGAATTCAAACGTTGCAATAACATGGTATGTACAGTATCTTAGAGTCTCAGTGTCACTGTCTCACTCTCTCTCTGTGCTATTTATCGCCCCGTTTTCTTCCCACGGTTTAACTTTGAAATGAGCACTGTCTGTCCCTGGTAGCTCTGCCTGAGAATGTAAACAAACATTGAAGCTGATGAGGATCTGACCCCCGCACAGGACTGGTTTTCCAAAACACAGCAGCTGGACCACCAGACCATGTCAGATTAGCCTCTTGGAGGACCATAGTGGGTTTGTCAGGACATAGAGACATGGCTATGTCACAGCCAGATACGACGTGTAAGGTACCTTGGATGCATTGGTTGTTGACGTTCTGGGATGCCATGTCAAGTTCTGCCTGTTACATGCATTGTCTTCTTTCAAAATGCACTTCTGTTTTCACAGGAAATTTAACGTTTACATACAGTCTCTTTCAAATAAATGCACTATGTCAGTACAACAATGCAAATTGATGTTTTTTTTTCCTCCAACAACTAATGCACATGGTTAGGTTTAGGTAAAAAGAACAGAGTTTGGCTTTATAATCTTATGAGACACAAACACTGCTCTCTCAGGTGAAAGTCCGTGCTTGTTGGACCCATCCACCACTCTCCGACTACCACTCCCGCCCACCCCAGTCAGACTTTCACCACCTCAACTTTCATCTTTGTCCCGCCTGTTTCCCCCTGACGCTGCCAGGTGCCGTTAAACTATAATGGGAACCAGCTGCGTATAATGTGGACATTAAAGGACGCCCTTTTTTGTTTGTTTCTGATGCCGCAAGTCACTGCCCAAGCGCTGGATTTCCATGACTTTGGATCGAGACTGGGCTCTTAGATCAGGGCTCGTCTTAAATCTCATTGACTAGGCTAGCTATGGGTTCTAAATCCAAAAATGGTAAAAGTCTCAGAGGAGAAAAGAGAATTTAATAGTGTGTAGGCAGCTTCATTTGCTTTCACCATCAACTCTGCAGATGTGCAAACGCCACGTATCAAAAACTGTGCCCCTATTATTTTCAAAGTGCAACGCCACACTGGTGGTGGCAAGACGTGCGTCAGCGCTCCTGGACACGCTGCCCTGTGGCACTTTACGCTACTCTCCTATTTCCAGCCTTGGGAATGCATTTTTTCCCCACTTGCTTTCTGCTTGTACATACCAGCTCCTGCAGCAGCTCTTTTTCTCTGCTCCTGTGGCAGCTCCTCACCACTGATGCAAAGAGAATTATGTTGCTGTTGCTGTGTCTCGTGTGTGACAAGGAATGAGAGAGAGTCTCATTGTTGAGGTTGAGAAATATCCTGAGCTAAACGACCCACAATCCGGTCATTATGAAGACAATGGCCAAAAAGATATTGCTTTGGCTCTTCAGTTAAGGAATCAAGTTTAATTAGAGGCTGTCTACACATGATTTTAAGCTGATGCAGATGTGGAGGAAGTACAGATCTTTCAGTAACAGTCGTAATAACTTCGTGTGGTCGTCTTTTGACAAGCTGCAGTGCAACGCGTCCAGTGTGTTTTCAGCTTTAGCCTTCACAAGTGCATCAGTGCTAAGCATGCAAAGTCATCCAGTAGGCTGGATAGAACCCACGGGCCGTGTGTATGGCATCCCTGCCTTACATATTCTCCCGACATTGAATTTTGGTCACCTGACATCACACCCGTGGGAAATAGAAGAAGAAATGTCAGGTTTTTCCAGTGCATATTCTGGTCAAACAATGAGCGCACCACACTGAACAGAAGCTGGATTGTGCTGCACAAGTGATTCTAAAACATTCAATGAATGTTTTAATAGTTTTTTCTGCCATTAAAACTCACCATTACAACCAATACTTTTAAATCTGACCACAGCTGCTTTACCTCATGACGCACAAAACTACAAAACCCTTTGCAGTCAACTTGAAATCCTACATCCTGTGGGGGGTCGGCGTTTCACACTCAAACGATCACTTAGAGTCAGACACAGATGCCATACTAACTCTCTTTCCAAAAAGACGCCTGAATGAGAGCGTCAGCAGAAAGCTTAAATTGTAACCCTTAATGTGATATATGTGCTTAAGTGAGTGTGTATGTGTGTGTTAAGTGTGTGCATTAAAATTCCCTCTTCCTGCCGCCCCCCCCTCCCTCCTGTGTGTTGGTCTGGCGTCTCCCTCCAGTCTGTGGTATGGAGGGCAGAGAGAGGGCCTCTCTTGTGTCGCCGACTGGAATTACACTTATGGTCATTTAACATGAGTAAATGCAGGAGGCAGAGATGGAGCTTTTCCATTTCAGGCAGTCCTGTGTCGTTGTTCAGACTCTTTCTTGAAGCTGTCTTTGCGTATGTTCGAGTGTGAATTCTTGGGCAGAGCATGGTTAGAGATTTAACCAATAAACAGCACCTTAACTAACTGCTCTGCATCTGGTACTCTGATTTGCAAT